GATATCTAGTCCGTATTTCATGGAGAGTGATAAGTGTATAATACAGCCACATCTGGGAGGGTACACTGACGGAGCATTCAAGCTGTCTCAGCTAGAATGTTTCGAGAACATCAAGTCATGGTACGCTACAGGTGTGCCCATCTCTCCGGTTAACAACATTGAAAAGCAAGGATAGATTAGACATAAGGAGGTGTATCCGGATAGGGAAACGGTGGTATTTTTAGCATAGATACTGGTAATAAGTTTTACCACTTCTCCATGGCAAACCAGATAGATATACCGCATTAACATTTTTGGCTTTTTGTGGCCCAGAAGTCAACCATGAACCGCTTAGATCCCTTTTTATATACCTCTCCCTCCCATATGTTGTTGGGAGATGGAGGGCTTCTTCATTTTGGAAACCATCATGAATCGGGTAAGTTTGACGCTCGTAACCATGCCACGATGGCAAGGCACAAGGCGTATCTTGAAGATGCAATGTTAGTATCTAGCTCTTCCATAAGTAGTCAATCATGGCAGCGACTTACTCCAAACAAACAGCTTTATAACTGCTTTTACCATTTTGTATATAATGGTATATATTTATACCGAATACCGAATACTGCACACCGAACCTTAATAGATTGGTATAAAGAACCTCCGGCACAGACGGTCTATTACAGACCATTAGTTTAGTGATCACTTCGTAGCGAAGGGGGGTAAGTGTACGTACCGGAGAAGGGGCTTACAACGCCAACCATGGGCGCCACATACCCGGGGGCGGATGAGGCTTAGATATATGAAAATGGAAAAAAGCGGAAAGAGAAACGTCGTCGTCGTCGTCGTAGATAGAAGGAAAAAAAGAAGAAAGGGAATGCCACGTTGGGATGTAATAGATGGAATACATGACGCTAAATAGTGTCCTTGTCGACGATTATTTGATGATGCCCAGTTAAGGAATGTGGTATAGATACCAGCAGTGTAGATTGCTGTGGTATGTATGTAGGCATCCGTATCTGAATATTTAGGCGACGACAGACGTGACAGGCAGACAGGGCGCGCGTAGTGTTAAGTCACCCACCCATTCACGACCTTGCTCCCAGGCCGCGAGTGACTGGGTGGATATACGTATGTATATGTATCTCTGATGTTTCGACTTTTTGGCCGCCCCCGGTAAGAGAAAGTTGAGGAGTGTCCCGGTTTGGGGGGGAAAGGTTGGATCCGTGATCCGAGCATATGTGTATAAGCGAATGTGTATATGGCATGGCGTGGTATACTATGGGGTATAGTATGATATATAGTAGAGTGAGCCGTATATAGACGCTGGGATATGTCTCGGTTGTGGTAGATGGAGAAGAGAAAGAAGAGAAAGAGAAAGAAGAAAGAGAAGAAGAATTGAGGGGAGGGAAGGGGATTTTATACCTTGGAGGGACGGCAGCTGAGGCTGTCACTGGTGCAGGGAGTTAATGAAGCTGGATGTTCACTGTTTTTGTCGGGCGTCGGGCGGGACGAGAGGGGAAGTTCACAGTGGATGGAAAGAAGGTGAAGAAGAAACAGGGAGTTGATTGTTTAAGT